TACCAGAACTCAGCTGAAAAATAGTGCTTCCAGGGAAAGGAATTGAGTGGGCCCTCGCAGATACTTGCAGGATGTTCAGGCTATGAGGAGCTGTATGTTGCTGGGAAAAGAGCTGCAGTTGGCAGGAATCCACTGGCTCTGTTGAAAGAAATTAAGATCAAGAATACCTTGTAGGTAAAGGGTCTGGAAATGGGACCGATAGACTTGGATGGAGTCTGCTTCCCTGCTGAGAAGCCTGGGTGAAGGTCTTTCTTGGGTTTCTTTTGAACTTTCTGTTAATAAATCAGCCCCTTGGAAGGGAGGTACTGTTTGGTGAACTTACTGGTGAGCCAACTGAGAAAACTGTCGTAGTGCACCTGCTGTGCCATACCTCTCCACAAGAGAGTGCATGGGGATGACAAATACCTTTTACAACAAACGTGCATCTCTTTAGAGTGTTAGAAATAATTCATTTAGTCAAATTCTTCATTGGGGCCTGCCCCAATAATGTGCTGTGTATGGACAGGCCCCTCTGTCAGCCTGAAGCCCCATTAAAGTCTCTGGGTCTTGGCATGGGAACAAGGATAGACTTACATAGAATTAATTGTATGATGCTGGTAAAAAAGAATTTGTGGAACAATTAAAAAAAAAAAAGCTCTTAAATCTCCGGTGTCTGAATAGTTGAAATTCAAGGGAGAGTTAAAACAGTCATCAAAATTGGATGCTAATCCCACCATATCTTGTTTAACAGGAATAACACAAGCAGCCTCTTATTTTCCTTGTCTTTCAATTCTCTGTCATTGTCTGTCTGTTTCCCAGGACAGTTAACCCGGCTTTCTGTGCAGTCTCTGTAACCTGTCCATTCTCCATTGATCTGGAACCTAGCAGGTTATCTCTAGATCTTCATTAATTCTCTTTCATAGTAAGAGAAACTGCTCTCATAGCTATAGAGGTGAAGGCCTAATAACACACTAAAATATAACAAATTCCTTCATAGTCCTGATTTCTTCTATGTAAAAAGCAATCCTTGGTGTGGTTTATATGTATAAAAGTACCTTGGTGTGGTGTGTGTAGATATAAAGGTTTATATAATGCTCATAGCAGCGCGTCATTGCCATAGTACAACAGAGTCATGTAACACAATTTAACAGCATGTTAATATTTCTCGAAACCACTTTAATCTGGGTCTTAGATGAAGGATTGCACTGGGCAAATAAATCCTGGGTGCTGGGAAATTAATCTTTTACGATGCTTATACTCATTGGTGGAATCCTTTCAAAGGGGATTTAGGAACCTAAATACCATTCACTTTCATTTAAGCACATAAATATGCAGATAGGTGCCTAAATCCTGTTGATTTCAAAGATTTACCGAGGGTGGTTTTTTTTTTTTTAAATTCAGTGTCACTGTTGACACTTTTCAAATTGTCCAAAAAGAACTGGGACATATAAGCAATACAACCCTATAAGATTATGTTTTCATTCCACTGGATATACTTTCTCTTATATACAGCAATGAATAGGAAATAAAACTGCTTGTTTTAATTCCTTAGGCTTTTCTCTAGGCTTAAATTATATAAAAGAAGCTAGAATCTGATCACCAGGAATCCTGCTATCCCACTCTTGCAATAAAACAGAAATCCTTACGTGTTGACATGTCCCCTCCAACGTGTGACAAATAAATTACAGCTATGATCCTCTCTCCCCAGCAGCAGGAGGGAGGGCCTAGTATCCCCCACAAGACACCTTCCCTTTCAAGTATAATTGTACAGCACTGGTGAGTGAGACGAAACACCTTTATGTAATGCAATTATTGTTAGGAGGAAGAGGGGAGGAAAAACCTCGTCTTGAGGGCAGGGTTACCTAAAGGAAGAGTTTTGTATTCTCAGTCAGCCTCCTCTTAGAGAGAGCAATAAACCAGGTTTCTGAACAGCTGGCAGATTTGAAGCCAGTAGGAGGATGAACCAAATGAAAGTTTATCAAGCTGTATACTCATGATCTAGGACGTGCCAGCCTTCTGCCAGCATGGTTGTGAGGGGAAGAAACCCTGTTGTTGTTTCGGGGACGGAAGACATCTCCGCGCTGAGCATTTGGTTCCTGTGCTGGATGGAAGGGGAAGTGTGACACTCCCTGAAGTCTAGCTCTCTGCCTCTTCTCCTCCTTCACTCTATTATCTCCCTCCCCCTTGCTCCAGTCTAGGTGATGCAATAAAAATAAGGGAAGAGCTGGTGCTTGGGGGATGCTGCTGACTTTTGGCCTCCTGTGACACCAAATTGTATTATCAAATTAGAGAACAAGTCTGATTATTTCTACTTCACTGCCAAAAAAAGAAAAAAGTCTAGTGCATCAGGCCCTGGATTTCTTTTTTTAGTGAGGAGGAGAGTTGTCTTATTTTCTATTCATGCCATATGATTGGGGTGGGGGGGGTGGTATACTATGATGGCCAAAAATTGAAAGACTCTGGTACAACTAAAGTGCCAGATCTAGGTTTTTGCAACATTCATGTTTTGGGGTGTAGATCTTTTTTTGGGGGGGTGGGAAGAGTGAGTTCAGTAGGAACAAGTAAACTTCAACTAAAAAAAAATGCTTACATGACTTACATAAGAACTGCCATACTGGGTCAGCCCAAAGGTCCATCTAACCCAGTATGCTATCCTCCATGAATTTGTATAGTTCCTTTGTTGAACCCTGTTATAGTCTTGGCCTTCACAACATCCTCTGGCAAAGAGTTCCACAGGTTGACTGTGTGTTGTGTGAAGAAATACTTCCCTTTGTTTGTTTTAAACCTGCCTATGTCCTATTTTCAAAAGTGAATTAGGCACTTGGAAGTTTAACTCCCATAGAAAGTCAGTGGGACTTAGGCTCCTAAGTAACTTAGGGACAGTTTTTCAAAGGCATTTGGGTGCTTAAAAATGCAGATAGGCAGTTTTCAAAATCTCACTAGTCACCTAACTCCCAACTCTAGAAACTTTTGTGGTCTATCTGCATCTGTAGATGGTAAAATGCATTTGAAAGTCTGGTCCTTAGGCACTTTTGAAAATTTTATTGCTATTCTCTTTTCATGGTCAATTTGGGGGCTTAGAGGTGAAGATCAGTAGGATCCACCTTTCCCTTTTATCCCTTGGGTATCTTGCATGGTTTTAATGTGTGTGAACTTAAATAGATATGCACCCACCACCATGGATTTGTTATGTCACCTGGATCGATCGGTCTTCAGCTGTCGTTAAGACTGCGCCGATCACAACATGTCCGGCATTCTTCTTGCATTCTTGCCTTTCTTCTCCACGTTTGTCCGAAACGTTTAACAGTGTCATCTTCCCATCTTCTTGGAGGCCAACCAAGTGGTCTTTTCTGTTCTCGCGGGTACCTCTCGGTAATGATTGTGGTCCACCTATTGTCTGTGAGCCGTGCTCTGTGGCCCGCCCATCGTATCTTATTATATCTGCTTTCCATGACAATATCTTTCACACTACTGCGTTCTCTGATCATTTCATTTGGGATACGATCCAGAAGGGAAATTCCCAACATAGCTTGTTCCATTGCCCTTTCAGCTACCGACAGATGCTGTTCTTCTCTCTTCATCAGTGCCCCCGTTTCACTGCCATACAGTATGGCTGGCAGAATTGTTGAATTGAAGATATTTGTACGTGTGGTCTAGTTGATTTTTTCCTTTGAGGATGTCCTTGATGGAATTAAATGCACATCCTGCCCGAATCCTTCGCGAGAGTTCTCCATTCATGTCTTGGTGCATATTAACTTCTTGGCCCAAATATATGTACTGTTCCACTTCTTCAATTTCTTCTCCTGTTACCGTTATTCGGGCTTTTCGTAAGACATCTGATCACATGTATTTCATTTTGCAGCGGTTCATTTTCAGACCAACCTGACTGCTTTTCTTGTTGAGTCTTCATCGCATGCTCTGCAGTTGGTTGGTGCTTTTGGCAATTAGTACGATGTCGTCCATTAATCTGAGATGAGATAACCGTTCTCCATTTATATTAACACCACTCCTCCAATTGATCTTGTTCATAACCATTTCGAGGCAGGTGGTAAATAGTTTCAGTGAAATCGTCTCTCTTTGCTTTACACCTTTCTCGACTGGGATGCGGAGAGGAGTTTCAAGGAGAGTAATGTCTGTTGTACATCCAGTATTCGCTTCCTTCAACAAACTGATGTACTGCGTGTTAATTCCCTACTCTGCGAGCGCCTTTAATATTGCATTGAACTAGATGCTATCGAAGGCCTTTTCATAGTCGACGAAAGCAATGCACAGTGGGAGTTTGTATTCCCTCGCTCTTTCTAGGAGCTGGCTAAGAGTAAATATATGGTCGATCGTGCTGAAATTTCTTCGAAACCCTGCCTGCTCTCTCGGCTGTCGTTCATCCAGACTCTGCCAGAGTCAGTTCGTTATCACCTTTGTAAAGACTTTATAGATATGAGAGAGCAGGCATGTGTTATGTATCCAGCTTTATTTTTGATAATGAATCAAAGGGGGGTGGAGAAGGTAATGATTGCCTACACCATACCGGGGCCCCTGCCGTCCACAACAGTGAGAGCACTGTGAAATATTATTTTCACCCAGTCTCTGGGGGTATGTCTACATGGCAGCAAGGAGCCAGCCGCTCCCGGGAGTAGGCAAACTCGGGCTAAAAATAGCTGTGTGGACGAAACTCTCCACTGCCAATCCCATTAGCAGTCACGAGGCGTGCGGGTGTTGAAGCCATTGCGCTGTCCCTCTCTTCTCCCCACGCTCGCCCCATTTCAGGCTAAGGAGGGGGTGGTGGGCAGGGGACTACTGAATGCGGGAGTGGATCTGGAGAAGGTTTCGTGCCTCCGGGAGCAGTGTGTGCCCCCAAGGATGGGAGTGTGGGGCTGGGTCTCTCCTCCCTCTGGCAAATCAGCCCGAGAGGGTGGGGAAGGAGGGAGAGGGGCTTGCTTTGCACGCTGAAAGTGGATGAGCATCCCTCCCCCGCTCTCCTCCTCCCCTTCTCCTCCTCACTCTCTGCCTGTGGAGCTGGGACCTGGGTGCGTTAGATGCTGGACTCTCTCTCCGCCTGCTTTGTCGGGGATGTACTGAAGAGAGGAGCAGCTCCCCCGGGGACTCTCTGCTGTGCACCCCTCGCCTCCCTTTGGTGCCAGTTTTAACACGGTTGCAGACTGAAGACCCCGGCCGGCGGTAAGTAGCCTGGCCGAGGCTGCGCTGCTTCCCCTCCCGGACGGATGGAGCGCGCGGGGTGGGAGCGCTCGGATGCTCCAGGGTTTGTCCCCGAGGTGAACGGGGCTGGGGGAACCTTTTTGTTGGGGGAGGGGGGTGTAGTTTGGGCGAAGTGGAAAAAGCCTCTCCTTGAAGCATGGGTGTGGGGCTGCTCGTGTGTTGGGTGGATCTGTACGTGCCTATCCCCGCGGAGTGTGATTTTTTTTTCTGAGCGGGAAGAGGGACCCCTATAGACCCAGTCTGCCCAAGAGACAGGATGGTGGGGCTATATGTGCCTTATGGTCGTGGCACCCTGCTCTGTCTCTGTGTGACCCGGGCTATATGTGCCTGTATGATTCTGGCGCCCTGCCCTGCCCTATGTGTGACCCGGGCTATATGCGCCTA